CCGGAGGCAGCACCAACTCAGAATGGGCTGGAGCCGAGAGGAACGCGCTCCCGGATCAGAGCCCTTCCGTCACCTCAGGGCTGCTGCGTACGGACGTACAGCAAACAGATACAGCAGATGTCACTTCCACGTTAAACTGCATCCACCTGTGGCACGGTGAAAAGCGTGGTACAGATAAAGAATCTTCTTTGCTTAGTGTTCGTTTCCTCTGCTTCTGTCCGGCCTTTGACTTGTTTCTTGCCCTGTTTCACAGAACCTTAATACCATTTTATATAGGTTTTCAGATGCATTAAGACTACCTTTCTCTCCTTTAAAAGGCCAAACCAAATTAAATCCAGGTGCATTCAAGTAGCATTAAACTTGTCTTTCTGGAATATGAATTTATATTTTGTAGTAATTACAGTAGCTTGATTTTATGCTGTTATTGAAATTGATTATTCTGTATTCTCCAAGGAAAGGATCCAAGAGGCAGCTAAGCTTTTAATAAAGAAATCCAACTGATTATAATGGCCTAGTAGTTGGAGGACCCTAGGAGGCATGCAAGGAAGAACTGGAACTGCCACTGCTTTAGATTTTAATCCTGTCCCCCTTAAATACTCAGTCAGTGAGGGGGTGCTTGTAGGCCAAGTAACCCCCAACTTCATGTAAAGAAGGACTGTCAAACTCAAATGTTAATCGTTCAGAGGATTGTTAAATAATTTTGTGAGAAGTTTCATTAAAATGATACACCTAGTGAGCAAACTACAGAAAAGTATTGAGACTGTAAAATATATTTTGATCATATAGTTAACGTGCTTTAAGTACAGTTGCACAAGTTTTTCAAAAGATACAAGTCAGGAAGGCCCTAACTTCGTTAACGATTAACAAAATACTAGCTGTTGTTCAAAATGTACATACAACTTCCTCATAGCTGAAGAGAAGCACGTAGACCGTGATTTATGGGTTTTAAAGACAATTTTTAAGTTAATATTCAACTGCCAGCTTCTCCAGAAAATGATACTGGTATTTTTGCTGCAGTAATTGATGTAAGAGTTTTCTGCCTGTCTGTGGACAGATGAACAATTCGTCTGCATGTAAGAGGAAGCTTAACAAAGGGAAATTCAGAAAAAGGGCATGGGCTCGTGGACCAGTCGCTGGCACAGGCTCTAGCTACCAAGTTACAGCTCTTAGTGAGAGAACTGAAATTACCACAGGCAAAATGCCTCTTTAAGCCTGACAAGATGACAACAATACCCTGAATTCATTAATTTATTATTATGATGGAAATACGTGTTAGCACTTCCAAGGACGGTAACAACCCAAATGATAGCATTAATTAATTTCAGTGACTGTTATGGGATGTTTATGGTCCAGTTAATAAATTAGTGGGCATTATTCAGCATACCACAGTAGTGGCTACAAACTTAGCTTAAACTCCTGACACTGTACAATTACAGAGTTTTAACGGAGAACTCAAACCTTACTGTAAGCAGACATTTGTGGACCTAAAGTGGACTTCATAGAAGTGAAGTAGCATAAATAACAGTAAAAAACACTTTTGGAAGTGATGCAAAAGAAAGTGGTGGCTTGTGGAAAACTAAAAGTAGTGCATTTTCTACTTCTGACAGCCAGACGGATAAGACGGGTTCCAAGACCAGAGAAGCCAGATACAGTTTGATTTATGCATAGCAAAACTGGTTTATCTGCTTACTGTACTTACATTAACATAGCTACATAGCACTTACAAGATCATAAATTGATGATTTTTATACTGGGAATTGTTTTCTTCTGACATAAATTCCAGCCTCTGCTGAGGGTATCTTGGGTGGACACAGCAAGACCCATCCTCCTGCAGCTCGGTCTTTAAAGCTTGTCCATGATAAGCAAACCAACTGTTAGCATTTCTGAAGATGTTACCTTTAGCTATTTCAGGACACAAAATGTACTCTGCTGTTATATTACAAATATGATAGTGCAGATCTTTTTCTTTAGTATGATTTGTATCCCTGTCTAATTTACAAGAAGTTTCCTGTAAAGGTGGTGTTTGTTTGGTTTTCGTTGTTTGCTTTTAAAGTACAGGCCTGCAGTGGGTTTGCTTTCTTTGAGGCAGGTTCCTTGGTCAGTCTCCTTCTCAGATCGTCTGCTGAGGATCAGCAGTGCACACAAGCACCGCTTTCCAGCCAGATCTTGCCAACTCCCATGTGTGGATTTGTAACTCCACTGCAGATCAGCTCAAGTACTTGACTTAGGTGTCTCACTTTTGTGATTATGATGCAGTGTTCTCAACTTCCGCCAAACAAGTTTAAAAATGTCTTTAGGCAGGTAGTGATTACAAACAGAAACCTTGAAAACAAAAAGTTTTCTATTCTGTTTTTCATTTTTTAACTAGCCTTGTGATTTTTTTAATGCCTACACAGCTGACGTTCTACATATTGTAGTATGAATAGTAGCTGCTCCGATAGCTTTTTTTAATACAGTTTTTAATCCTAATCTTTCTGTTAGTCTTCCCATAATTTAACTTTCAGGATGATTTGTTGCTAAACTTACATATTACCCTTATACTTGGGGTGAGTAGACTCAAGTTCAAGCTGTTTTAAAGACTAAGCAAATAAAGAATACACATTTCTATTGCAAAAGTAAAGTTGTTCTTACTCTTTATAAGCAACAAACAGTCTTGACTGCAAAAGTTGTCACACTTTTGATGCTGTCTGTATTCCACAGAAAACTCAAGTGGGTTTAACCAAATAGGAACCATTGAAAATCCACATACTATGCACATATAGCATTTTTTTATGCCTTTTTCCTAATGAAATTCCTTTTCTGCAACACCGACAATTAAGCTCTGTGCAGAGTCCCACAAGTTAGGCACATGAGCCTGTTAAGAGGATGAGATTGCAGAATTTGTGCCTAAATTGTAACTATTTGCTTATAATTAAGGCTGAGAGCAGAGGCTACGGGACAAAGACCCTGGACACTTTATAGAATGGTTCGTTCTTCCTGGCTTCTTCCCAGGCTTTGCCTACATGAAAAGCATCCAAAACTTTCTGCCTGCCTGGTGGAATTGTCTAAAACAGGAGTTAAGCATTTTGAGATCTCAAATGGCTTCCCTAACCCTCTGAGCATGTCAAATCCACAAGCCTAACCTGTCGGAGATGACAGTCCCTGTGACCCTGCCATTCCAGTTCTGCATAGCCCTGTCACCAGGCCCACCAACTGGGCTGGAGACTTGGCGTAACAGAGAGCGAGTGCACGCAGTGGGAGCCTGATTTTGCAAACATGGCTGCATAAATGTGTTCTAAGTACAGTTTTACCAGGATGTGGGAGAAAGGATCCCAGGACACTCCCTTCTCCATCTGTTCTTGACTGACGCAGGCTGGTGTCCTGCCCTGAAGGCGACTGCTGTTTCTACGTAAGCATTACTTATGTCCCGAAGCAGGACTGAAGCGTGCTGCTTCGCTGAGGGTGAAGCACTAAGGACAAAGCCAAGCAACTTGATGGTCGTAACCAGACTGAAGCCTAGTGCCTGAACCGAGTTTGTATCCTTTCTGCTTACAGCAGTTGGCCTCAGGGGCTAGTCTCGTTAGCTCCTGTACACAACCCTTTATTTACAGAAGTGTCCCCCCTACGTTGTATTTCAGTACCAAAACCCAGATGTGTGCTGCCATCCAGACCTAAAGGCAGGTGCTCAGAAGTGTGCGGGAAGAGTAACTTCTAGAGGGACTCTGAGGGCAGGTTTTTAGGTAAGGGTGGGGAAACAGAGGCAAATAAAGGGAAGCAATGAGGAAAGACGAGAGCATGGTGACAACGGGCCCTGAGAAGAGCTAGGAGGGGTTGCACCTCCTCTAGGCTGAGCAGAGGCAGAAGAAGGGGGGGACTGGAGGCGTGAGTGGACGTGCTCACTTCCCCTTGCTGTTTGGTTCCTCTCGCACTGGGAACTGCGCACGTCACGTATAAACAGGATTGCCTCAGGAAACTCTGGCACTCAGTCTTCATTTCTGGTTTACTGCTCCAGTCAATAGAAACAGCGCTGTTTGTGCTGCATACCTGTGTTAGCCAAGCTAAATCACCCAACCTTTGTATTGAAGTGGATTAATTTTATGGGACTCCATTGCAGTTTCATTGTTTTCATGCTTTGGAACCCAAATGCACCCTCAATTCCTTTGCTTTTTTAAACCTAAAACTTAACACGTTTCTAATAAAAACATGCCACTCAAGAATTCTAAAGACAGAAGTAATGTGATACAGTACCAGGTATGAGACTACCAACATACAAAAAGCCATATCAAGGTAGATGGTTAAACACTATCATGTTTACGTAGTACACTGAGTTTAGCCAAAAAGTAGTAAGCTAAAGTTTAACACAGAGAGTGAACCACATTATAAATTGAAGCTCAATTAAAATCAAGTTTATCTGGAATCTGTGATCTTAGCTGGTATCAAAACGATCATTTTTAATTATGAGAAAAATCTGAATACTGTACACAATATCTTAGTCATGAAGAGGTAAAGTAAGTTCACAGCTCACTGGAATGTGCTGATGCAATAAGCTATATATTGCATCAGAATTTCAATGCAAGCGTTTAGCCAGTGCGCCTGTACTGATATGAGAAGCAGCCCATAGCCCTGATCCTGCAGATCAGCTGAACTTCAGCAGATAAGCAAAGACGCTGTGAAACATCACCGTATTTATAAGTCTGTATTACTTCATATAAACAGTTTTATCTACAGACTGCAAATGTAATTTGAAAAAGAAACAAAAAAATAACACCTCCGTGAATATCATAATAAGCAGTAAAACATTCCTATCACTAACACACACGTACGGTGGCACGGTTTCTGAAAATCGTAAAGTAAATCTCCACCATGTTGACTGTACTGCTCAAACTGTTCTCAAAGGGTCTACAATCACCAGCTCCGTTTGAAAGCTTGAACTCGTGAATTAGCAAAGGCTCTGCAGTCTGCATTCTTGCATGTAACAGCATTACAATTATTATTTACAATTACCCCCATTCTTTTCTTACCGCAGGTAGCTGCTGTTACTGGTGGGATACTGGTGATGGTGATAATGTTCAGGCTGGCTGTGCCAGAAAAGCATTTTGGGATGAGACGAAGCGTTGTGTTCAGCCAAGAGATGGTCACTGCAGTGACAGGAGAGAGGAAAGAGAAAACAAACACACACATTCAGATGAAAGTTGCAGTTGGGTCTCAGTGCCATTCGCGTGCCTGGGTTTGCAGCCAGAATTGTAATACCTACTTTAAAACACACAAAACAGTACCGGTCGATCCTGCTAAGACCTTGACACTTGGAAATAAAAGGGGGCACGCATCCAAAAACCTCTTCTGAAAGTGGTTACCTGCAGAGGGCACCCATTCCGCTTGAAATAGGAAGGACTACTGACAATTAGCAGCAGTTCGCTGGGGTTTGGAGGTGGGAGTTTTTTGTTGTGGTTGTTTTTGTTTTTAAATACCACCCGTACACAAGCATATATTGCTTGTTCCTTGCAGTTCATTCTATAAAAATATAGTTTAAAAGGTATTGCAATATTGTGACAACACTCAGGCTATGAAAATGAGAATATCAAAGAGCAAGGTTCAGGAAAACAAAAAGGCATCCTTGCTTATTTGAGTAATAGTAATAGACAGTAGTAAAAAAAAAAAAAACAAACGTTGGTTGGGTTTTTTTGATAGCATGAGGCAGTTCTTTAGCTTACCATCCTTAATGATTGTCAAACACCACAAACAAAAGGCAAAGGCCAGAATAATAATAGAAAAGGAACAGTAAACATGGGAGGAGAAAGAAACACCCGCATGTGACGCTGTCCAGGAAAGCAGAGAAGAACTGGGACTGCTGGCTTAGTGATCCTAAGGGATTACTCTCTTCCAAGAGGCACCCAGGTACCTCAAGGAGGGCTGTCACAGCACGGACCTGCTCGTGTACACAAACTGATCTTTGCTCCAGCAAGCATCAGAGCTGGAGGAGTCTTTTCAAGGTTGTTTTTTTCCATTTACACGTTTATGTGTAACTGCATACTCTTAATCAGCACCCTCCTGGCAGATGTAAAGGGCTGCATAAGTCCCAGATGACCGCTGCATTTTTTTAATAATTAATTTTATTTCAGTGACTGTAGAAAAGAGAGTCTGTATCCTGCTATCCAGTTTGCTCCATCTGCTGGCAAGCTGTAAAATAAAATCACTCTGTCTCCAGCTCTAGATTTAGGCAAAGGTGTCAAATGCGTACAGCGCATTGTATTCAGAAACCCCCTTTCCCTTTGCATTGATTATTCTCAAGAAAAGGACTACAAAACCCTCAAACCACTTTCACAGTCTTCCCTTGGGGCTGACAGGAGCTTCCCAAATAGAGTGCAGGCAGTTGTTCTCTGACTTGTATTTCTTTTAAGTGGAAAGAGTAAAGCCACAGACTCCCCTTAATCTGAAGAGCTTTCAGCCCCTAGCACAGAACGGCTCACACCTCTATGCGTATCCCACAGAGCTCACGTGGCTTTAAATTCTCAGGCGCTTTTCTCCCTCCAAAATTAGCCTGTTGCTTTTGACAAGATGCTGGTTTCTCAAAATGCAGGTGGGAACACTGCAGTTTTGATTAGTCTTTTTTTGTGAAGTCCAGGAAAGAACTTGTGAGCAAAACTAACTGAGGTTCCCAGACGAAACAGTAGCCTATTTTTTATACATATACACACACCGGTACATCTACATATGTATACTAAAAGCCTGCACTCCCTATTTTTCATCTTTAGCACAGCAGACTTTTTTACTAGCCGTTTTGGAATTACTTTGGATATTTTTAAATAACACAAATACAACATAGCAGAAGTTTTACATTTGTTCTTATGTCAATACAGCTTGCTGTTGTTGAAAACAGCCACCCTGGGGCAGCCCAGGCAAACAGCTGCAGATTAGGCTACTGTATGTTTTGAGCATGGATAGTGAGTAGAGCACTGCTAGGCCTAGGTCCTTCAGTTCTCTCATTTCAGTCCTCTCCATCATTAGCTTGCCCAGCGGCTGACAAAGCCTTGACTCTACCAACCACACAAGTCGGCATCATAGCACATGTGCCCATTCAGTCTCTGACCTTAATTTGATTTTTCAAGTGTTATGCTTCTCCAGACTAAAAATAACCAAGTCATTGGTTATATGCAAAAAAGCTACTGCCTCGAGGAGACAGGGTGTTCATTAGCAGAGGAAGGTGAAATGATGAAGGCTATTCTGACCTCTGTTTCTAAGTACCTGCTTCTTACAAAAGGCAAAAGTTCAAAACCTGTGTTATGGCTGCCTCTCATGGTATGCAAATTATTTCAAACTTGAGAGAGTGTGGCCACAAAATCTGCCACTACAAATCATCATATCCCACTGCGACCACTGTTGCTGATGGTGAAGAGAAGGAAAGCAGAAACAAATCTTGTGGACTTCCATGCAAAAGCACTGTGGAAGCGACAAATTTGCCTGTCTCTTTTCCCTCCAAGCATTGGCAAGATGCTTCACTTAACACACAGAGGCTTTGAGTTCCTTGTATGGAAAGTACTAGACAGAACACGCAGGAAAGATGTTATTACTCAAACTGAAATGAAACACTACAACAAAAAAGTATTTCTTTTCTTTCTTCTCTTTACAGTCTTGTGTTTTGACTGATCTTTGTTGCAAACAATATATAGGTAAAACTTTAAGTACAGTATAGCTTATTTTTTTAAATCAGGATAAACTTCCCAGGTCATATTTAATTCTGGTATTTTGCCTCATGGAGCACTGAATATTCCCCACATCCACTGCCCTTGACTAACCTCTAGACATAAAGGTATGTGGTTACACGGTCTTGCAAGTTTGGGGACAAATAAGGTGAGTTTTTTTACCAGATACTGTTTATTGTTACGGGGCTATTTTTGTTTCTTGTTTTATAATCTGCGCAGTAAGTACTAAAACAGATCTCAGCAAAGGAACATTGTATACACAAACAACAAGACATTATTTATTTAAAACATCTCTTGCTTTAAGGCTTGTGTATGGCATGCAAAGTCCAACCTGAAATTTAAGGTGGGGAGGCTGTGTTTTGCTAAGGGGTGGCTGTGCACTGAAGTGCTTTAGCATATGGTGCCTGAAAACTTTAATTGGTGGGTTTTTCCATGAGCAGCATCCAAAATGATGAGGTCTCCTAAGGCATCATTCAATTTGCTGATCTTAATTATAGTGATCAGACTCCTCAATTCATTTTCTGATTGCCCTTCTGAGAACTACAGAAATGGCATTAAAAATTGGCAATATAACAGGTTATATACACAGAATGTCATCTTTGCTTTGTTTTTAGCAAGGAAAGAGTACTCTACAGACAACACCACATGGAAAAACTCAATCAGGTACCATGTAAGACACTGTAAATTCAGCACATATTCTGAAAAAAAAAAAAAATTAAAGGAAGTTTTTGCTGTCCAGTGATGATTTTTAGTTGTGCTTAAAATGCTAGGTCAGTTTAAAATCAGAAGACACATTTATACGTATGCAGGAGCAATCCCTACGTACTTCAGCCCCAAAACAGAGTACAAAAGAGAGGGCAGCGCTACTTAGATGCATCCTGTTTGGTCTTTGGGCTCTTTTTTGTTGAGTAAGAGTTGCTGCCAAATGCAGGGTAACTTTGGAATGAAAATACTTGTCAAACCAGACATCGGTGACCCTGTCCACCTAAACCACTAGGTAACAGCAAGGGTATTCATGTCTAGATGATACTGCCTGCTTGGATGCGATGCGAACCCATCATACATGTATGCGCAAGGTGCTGGAATGTTATTTCTAGCCCTCATATGCACTTCTGAATACACAACCTCTCTGTCTCCTATATACATGGGTAGCAGGACTGTGTTCATTGGCCACTACTACGATGAACTTAAAACACCGACAGGTAACAATCAGAAGCAAGAAAAACTTCTGCATGGGCTCCATCACTGCACCGACTTGCCATTCTCACCACACCTCCTGACTCATTATGAGTTGACCCAGCCCAGTCCTATTGCTACGCCTGGTCATCTGAAGGTGGCAAGAAGTATGCGATCACTGCTAACAGCCAGTCTGTGAACAGCAATGCACTGCGTGTTCAGTGCAGTAAAGGGTAAGCAGCAATACCCGCGTATTCTCCATGTCCAACTGCCACCTTTATTCTGGATGGTTGGATGGTTTTAGACATCCTAATCTGGGCCTGCTTAACACTGAAGCACTGTGAGGACTGCTGCATTTACCAGTCCTTCCTCTGTGATGCAGAACCACTCTTGAGAAGCAGGGCTGCCAGCAGAAAGGGGAAATGGGAAAAAAACCAGAACTTTTTGGTAGATGTCCTGAATTCCAGCAGAAATCTTAGAACACTAAGGGCACAGAGACAACACATCTGACCAGAATGGCATGCGTAACAGCGCTGAGCACACTTAATACTTCTGATCACTGTGGTGAGATACATTAGATATGTAGCAAACTCTTGAGCTCAGACTTGCTTCACTGTCTGCTCGATATGAGGCACCTGGAGAACTAACTTCATATGTAAAGGAGAAATACGGATTGCTTCGCATGCCTTGAGTGTCAGTTCACAAAATATACAGGTTTTGCTTTTTCTGAAGAATGCAGGGTATGCTCCTTTCGTCATGGGATCTATCCCCTTCTTAAAAAAAGTCTGAAAGGCCCCACTGCAGGGGGTTACTGCTCTGTAATTTATTCTTCCATAGTCATATTCCTCACACAACCTACTCCTGAATCTAAGAGGGTATGATTAAGGTGCTGTGTACTGAGGAATAAGCGTCTTACTGACTTCACATCTTTTGAGATGGAGGCATGGTAGAAGGAAGCAAAGCTAAGACCTGTTTCTTCTGCTGCTTCTTAGGAATGACTTTAAGGCCTGCAAAGGAATCCATCACATGGAGATCATTTGTAGGCATAAAGAGATTTAGACAGCAACATTGGCCACAGAAAATTCTGATTTTACCCATCACATCATACCTGACCCAAAACTTAGAGTTAACAGGTTTTTATGGCTGTGGCCAAGGATGGAGTCAGGTTTACAGAAGTCTGTAAAGGTGGACAATGTTAGTTCTGCTATGCTGTGCACCT